ATGATGTTTTATCTCACTCCAGGCATCTTGTTCACAGTTAGCGCCGTGTTTAAAAAGATTTCTGCTAAAAAAAAAAGGCAAGAAAGAAATCCACCGTGCTTGAGAATGCTTGTCATTTAAAGTAGGGATTGATATGCCGTCTACTCCCTCACTCTCTGCCTCTCGTCTCTCCCCCTTCTCCCTCTTTTCAAGATCTTACATTTTCACTAAAGTCCCCTTCACCGTGTTATCTTTCCACCAGAGGCACAGAAAAGGCAGCTTTGATATTGAAAGCAGGCCTGGAATAAAAGCCAAAGGGTTTAGGCCAAATGTAAATGCTACGGGTTCTCTCTAAAGGAAGATATCTCCAAGTTAACTAACACTTCATACTCTATATACTCTCTCTCCGCAGTCTGACCAAACACCACAGAAGATAGACCCAATTTATTTTCTAATGACTTCATACAAATGCTTATTACTACATACAAGTTGTAATAAAACCTGTAATTTAATGGAAAACTTGAGCTCATTGATTCAGCTGTGTGTTGAGTAGAACAAACACGCTGCTAAACACAGTAGGATGTTAGCATAAGTGGCTATAACTCCTCTGGCTGTAACTGCAGACACAGCAAAACAGCCCAAACCACACAACAGTGAGGAAGAGAAGAGGAACTAAAGCCACAACATGATCAAAGAAGAAACCAAGCCCTGAACAGAGCTAGCTTACATCGTATCCTCTGGAGAGACTGGTCTGAGGGAGAGACCTGCGGGACCGCCTCGGACTATCTGCGCTCGGACTATCTACGCTCGGACTATCTACGCTCGGACTATCTGCGCTCGGACTATCTGCGCTCGGACTATCTACGCTCGGACTATCTGTGCTCGGACTATCTACGCTCGGACTATCTACGCTCGGACTATCTACGCCCGGACTATCTACGCTCGGACTATCTACGCTCGGACTGTCTACGCTCGGACTATCTCTGCTCGGACTATCTACGCTCGGACTATCTACGCTCAGACTATCTACGCTCGGACTGTCTACGCTCGGACTATCTACGCTCAGACTATCTACGCTCGGACTGTCTACGCTCGGACTATCTACGCCCGGACTATCTGTGCTCCGATTATCTACGCTCGGCCTTTCTACGCTCAGACTATCTACGCTCGGACTATCTGCGCTCGGACTATCTACGCTCGGACTATCTACGCTCAGACTATCTACGCTCGGACTGTCTACGCTCGGACTATCTACGCTCAGACTATCTACGCTCGGACTGTCTACGCTCAGACTATCTACGCTCGGACTATCTACGCTCGGACTATCTACGCTCGGACTATCTACGCTCAGACTATCTACGCTCGGACTGTCTACGCTCGGACTATCTACGCTCGGACTATCTACGCTCAGACTATCTACGCTCGGACTATCTACGCCCGGACTATCTGTGCTCCGATTATCTACGCTCGGCCTTTCTACGCTCGGACTATCTACGCTCGGACTATCTACGCTCGGACTATCTACGCTCAGACTATCTACGCTCGGACTATCTGCGCTCGGACTATCTACGCTCGGACTATCTACGCTCGGACTATCTGTGCTCCGATAATCTACGCTCGGCCTTTCTACGCTCAGACTATCTACGCTCAGACTATCTACGCTCGGACTATCTACGCTCAGACTATCTACGCTCGGACTATCTACTGCGCTCGGACTATCTACTGCGCTCTGACTATCTACGCTCGGACTGTCTGCGCTCGGACTATCTACGCTCGGACTATCTACGCTCGGACTGTCTACGCTCGGACTGTCTACGCTCGGACTGTCTGCGCTCGGACTATCTACGCTCGGACTATCTACTGCGCTCTGACTATCTACTGCGCTCTGACTGTCTACGCTCGGACTATCTACACTCGGACTATCTACTGCGCTCGGACTATCTACGCTCGGACTATCTACGCTCGGACTATCTACGCTCGGACTATCTACGCTCGGACTATCTGTGCTCCGATTATCTACGCTCGGCCTTTCTACGCTCAGACTATCTACGCTCAGACTATCTACGCTCAGACTATCTACGCTCGGACTATCTACTGCGCTCGGACTATCTACGCTCGGACTGTCTACGCTCGGACTATCTGCGCTCTGACTATCTGCGCTCGGACTATCTACGCTCGGACTGTCTGCGCTCGGACTATCTGCGCTCGGACTATCTACGCTCGGACTGTCTACGCTCGGACTATCTACGCTCGGACTATCTACGCTCGGACTGTCTGCGCTCGGACTATCTACGCTCGGACCATCTGCGCTCGGACCACATTTGGACGTGAAACCAGCGGTAATCTTTCAGTTGTATATTGTGTTAGCAGTGCGTTGCTTTTGTACCATTTCATCAGTGATTGTTGTACAGCTTAAATTGTGCTAATGCTAATGTTAGCATACAGATCAGATCACAAATAAAACTAGATGGCTCCGTGGGAGGAGAGCGTAGAGGACATGAGAAGCCTGTGAGCGAGTTGGGGGCGGGGCTAAACATTCAAACCTACAGAAACAGGTATAGCTCCTTTAATGTTTTTATTCCAAAGGGTATTTCACAAATTTCCGTCAATTGAAGTTGATGAAATATTGTGAGCCAGACTGATGCCAAAACACAGCCTTGATTTTAGAGGATTCCTTATGTTGCTTATTGCATCAGGAGAGGAAGGAGCCGGAGCGAGTGCGTAATCACTTCATTATAGAGTATTATGTGTAATTAGAGTGACATTTCCTGGAGGATATTGTGCATAGACTGATTTGATTGCATAAGCAGCAAGTTGCAGCTCCGAGCTTCTCAATACCAACCATTGCAAAAGGCTAAAGTCGGACAAAGTTTGAGAAGATGTGATTAAGCCGCTGTGTCTGTTGTTGCTGTATTTCAGGCCCGTTCCCTCAGGTTTGCTCGGTCTGGGGGGCATTAAAGGGGACAATAAAAGTGGCAGAAAACACAGACGTTTAAATACTTGTAGAGATTCGGCTGATTTCACTTCAATGTGGATCAATGAAGCTTAAGGAGCTTTTAAAAACATCCAGGGTTTAGATGTCGTGAGATAAATGGACGTATTATGGTTGTATTTTCTTTGCTGATCAATTCATATAAATATTAATGGAGGTAAATATGAAATTGTGATAATGCCAAATGTGTAAAACTTGTATCTTTGCTCCAACCCAGTGTGCTAGCTAACACGGTTAACGTCTAAGTTATGGGTTAATGTTTTCAGAGTGACTTTGGTGTGAAAAAACGCTGGTATAATACAGTGTTGGTGAATTACTACTGCCGCCACAGCTGCCCCGGGGCAGACTGATCAAAGCAAGGCTGCCAACCATTGTCATTACTGAGTGGACCAAATATACATAAAGCATTAATATATATAAATGTGTTTGTGTAGTTTGCTTCAAGAACTGTCTTATTCTCGGTCAGGTCCAAACAGGAAATGACATCATAAACTTTATCAAAACGTACTCTGCAAATCATGATAAAATATGAGGTGATAAATGCTTGAATTTAGTGGTTTTTATCTTAATTGGAGCACATTCTGTCTTAAAACAATCATTTGACTAGAAGGTTTGATCTCTGGGCTCGATGGGGCCTTTCTCTGTGAAGTTTGGATGTATTGTGTATGCGTAGGTTTCCTCCAGGTGCTACGGTTTTCCTTCAACCACTAAAGACATGTTCAAAATTGTCACTTTTAGCCCCAGCCTCGTGCTGCTAATGTGCAGTAGTTCCATTATTTGCCATTTAGTCTGATTTCAAGAACTGTTTCTTTATTTCCTCATTCCAACAAAGACATTTCTGAATCTTTTTAAAACATAATTTAGCTTTGTCCCGTCGGAGAATCTGTTTTAAAGCAGTCAAAATGTGCTCAGATTAAGACACATTTTGCCAAAGTTGTGACTTATTTTTCATTACTTTCTGCAGTGTAGAATGAGGAAAAACTGGTAAAATGTTGATCCAATTCAACTGTTTCAGTAAAATCATTGGTCTAACAGTTTAGCATATGTAGCTAACATACACAGCTAACATATGTAGCTAACATACACAGCTAACATATGTAGCTAACATACACAGCTAACATATGTAGCTAACATACACAGCTAACATATGTAGCTAACATACACAGCTAACATACACAGCTAGCATACACAGCTAACATACACAGCTAGCATACACAGCTAGCATACACAGCTAGCATACACAGCTAACATACACAGCTAGCATACACAGCTAGCATACACAGCTAGCATACACAGCTAGCATACACAGCTAGCATACACAGCTAGCATACACAGCTAACATGTAGTAGTAGTGTGTTTATTTCGAATTACATGCGCAATACAAAAAAAGAAAAGAAGAAACATATATATGCACAATTCGAAAAGGAGTAGGTAGAAGTGAAACTTATGCTTCCTTCCCCTTGTTACAAACTTTTCTCTTTACAGGAGTTCAAATGATATAAAGGCATATTTCTCTCAGATATACAATTTACACTCGTCTCCATGAATAGTAATTTTAAATTCTGATTTAGCACCAATGATGTTCTTAGGTCTTGTTGTCACTGCCATTTTTACCCAAAGCTGTTTATTTAATGTTAACATTGTTATGTATGTAGACCCGACATAGTGCAGTGCATTAAACATATGTAGCTAACATATGTAGCTAACATATGTAGCTAACATATGTAGCTAACATATGTAGCTAACATATGTAGCTAACATATGTAGCTAACATACACAGCTAACATACACAGCTAACATATGTAGCTAACATATGTAGCTAACATATGTAGCTAACATACACAGCTAACATATGTAGCTAACATACGTAGCTAACATACACAGCTAGCATACACAGCTAACATATGTAGCTAACATATGTAGCTAACATACACAGCTAACATAAAATGTCTTTTTATGACTAAAATGTCAAAGTCATTCTGTCGATGGTAAAACCTGCAGCGTTTCTTGACCTTGCATTTTGGTGAAAATGATGCACGTATTGGTTCCACTTGGAAGTTTTATCGCCGCTATTTAAGCCTTTTCTATTTAAGCCTTTTCTATTTAAGCCTTTTCTATTTAAGCCTTTTCTATTTAAAGGCACACCGCGGACTTTGTGACCTAAAGAGTTGACACATATGAGTTATTTTATATGAATACTTGGGCCAATATACAGCGCTTGACACTTGCAATGCTCCGAGCGGGGCTGCCCTCTTGAAATACCGCCCATGTAAGTTTCGAGCAGACGGACCGTCGTTTACCAGGTCACGTGACTTGGGAGAAAGATATGCTTTACGGCTACAGGCGCTGATATACTCATGGAGCTAAGGCTTTTGCTACTCATTTTTCACCTGCTCGACTCCTGGTCATGGCTGAGGCAAGGAAAAAGTTTAAACCTTCGGAGGAGGCTAAAAAGAGGAAACGCGAAAGGGATCGTGCTGTAAGCTGCATGTCTGTATGAGCGCTGCTGTTCACCTGGTTCCTGGATGTCATCGACTGCAAAGATGTCATTCCACGCAGCACGAGCTAGACGCAGAACTCCCTCATCCAGGATATAGAAGTCCATGTGTGGTAGATTACTAATGCAGCGGTCTGGAGGCTGACCACAGCAGAGTCTCTCAATATCTGTAGGCATGTCTCTACAGTTTGAACACACACACCAGTGCATGCTGTCTGAATACACACTCAAAAGACACCGGCTGACTGTTTGACTTTTGCGACAGTGCTGAGTTGCTTGTGGCCACTAGGGGCGCTAAACGTGAAAGTTGCAGGTCTAGCGCCCCTAGTGGCCAAGAGTTACACGGTGTGCCTTTAAGCCTTTTCTATTTAAGCCTTTTCTATTTAAGCCTTTTCTATTTAAGCCTTTTCTATTTAAGCCTTTTCTATTTAAGCCTTTTCTATTTAAGCCTTTTCTATTTAAGCCTTTTCTATTTAAGCCTTTTCTATTTAAGCCTTTTCTATTTAAGCCTTTTCTATTTAAGCCTTTTCTATTTAAGCCTTTTCTATTTAGATCCAAGTGGATGTTTCTGTGCTTTCTCCGTCCTCCGGCGATCACAGTATCTGTCCCGCTCTCATGTTAGCGCTTTTTGTAGTCCAGAGTTAAGCACCAAAGCAAACACACTCTTCTCCTCTTCTTCTACTCTTCTTCTTCTCCTCTTCTTCTCCTCTTCTTCTCCTCTTCTTCTCCTCTTCTTCTCCTCTTCTTCTCCTCTTCTTCTCCGCTTCTTCTACTCTTCTTCTCCTCTTCTTCTCCTCTTCTTCTCCTCTTCTTCTTCTCCTCTTCTTCTCCTCTTCTTCTCCTCTTCTTCTCCTCTTCTTCTCCTCTTCTTCTCCGCTTCTTCTACTCTTCTTCTCCTCTTCTTCTCCTCTTCTTCTCCTCTTCTTCTTCTCCTCTTCTTCTCCTCCTCTTCTTCTCCTCTTCTTCTCCTCTTCTTCTCCGCTTCTTCTACTCTTCTTCTTCTCCTCTTCTTCTCCTCTTCTTCTCCTCTTCTTCTCCTCTTCTTCTCCTCTTCTTCTCCTCTTCTTCTCCTCTTCTTCTCCGCTTCTTCTACTCTTCTTCTACTCTTCTCCTCCTCTTCTCCTCTTCTTCTCCTCTTCTTCTCCTCCTCTTCTTCTCCTCTTCTTCTCCTCTTCTTCTCCTCTTCTTCTCCTCTTCTTCTCCTCTTCTTCTCCTCTTCTTCTCCTCTTCTTCTCCTCTTCTTCTCCGCTTCTTCTCCGCTTCTTCTCCTCTTCTTCTCCTCTTCTTCTCCTCTTCTTCTCCCCTTCTTCTCCTCTTCTTCTCCTCTTCTTCTCCGCTTCTTCTCCTCTTCTTCTCCTCTTCTTCTCCGCTTCTTCTACTCTTCTTCTACTCTTCTTCTCCTCTTCTTCTCCTCTTCTTCTTCTCCTCTTCTTCTCCTCTTCTTCTCCTCTTCTTCTTCTACTCTTCTTCTCCTCTTCTTCTTCTCCTCTTCTTCTCCTCTTCTTCTCCTCTTCTTCTTCTCCTCTTCTTCTCCTCTTCTTCTTCTCCTCTTCTTCTCCTCTTCTTCTTCTCCTCTTCTTCTACTCTTCTTCTACTCTTCTTCTCCTCTTCTTCTTCTCCTCTTCTTCTCCTCTTCTTCTCCTCCTCTTCTCCTCTTCTTCTCCTCCTCTTCTCCTCCTCTTTTCCTCTTCTTCTCCTCTTCTTCTTCTCCTCTTCTCCTCTTCTTCTCCTCTTCTTCTACTCTTCTTCTTCTCCTCTTCTTCTCCTCTTCTTCTACTCTTCTTCTACTCTTCTTCTACTCTTCTCCTCCTCTTCTTCTCCTCCTCTTCTTCTCCTCCTCTTCTTCTCTTCTTCTCCTCCTCTTCTTCTCAGCTTCCTCTCCTCCTCTTCTCCTCTTCTTCTCCTCTTCTTCTACTCTTCTCCTCCTCTTCTTCTCTTCTTCTTCTCTTCTCTTCTTCTCCTCTTCTTCTCCTCTTCTTCTCTTCTCTTCTCCTCTTCTTCTTCTCCTCTTCTCCTCTTCTTCTTCTCCTCTTCTTCTCCTCTTCTTCTTCTCCTCTTCTTCTACTCTTCTTCTCCTCTTCTTCTTCTCCTCTTCTTCTCCTCTTCTTCTCCTCTTCTTCTACTCTTCTTCTACTCTTCTTCTACTCTTCTTCTCCTCTTCTCCTCCTCTTTTCCTCTTCTTCTCCTCTGCTTCTTCTTCTCCTCTTCTTCTCCTCTTCTTCTACTCTTCTTCTTCTCCTCTTCTTCTACTCTTCTTCTACTCTTCTTCTACTCTTCTTCTACTCTTCTCCTCCTCTTCTTCTCCTCCTCTTCTTCTCTTCTTCTCCTCCTCTTCTTCTCAGCTTCCTCTCCTCCTCTTCTCCTCTTCTTCTCTTCTTCTTCTCTTCTCTTCTTCTCCTCTTCTTCTCCTCTTCTTCTCCTCTTCTTCTCCTCTTCTCCTCTTCTTCTTCTCCTCTTCTTCTCCTCTTCTTCTCCTGGGTTAGCGTTAGCATGAGCCGCGGCGGGCTAATGGCGTGAGCGTTTACACGGAGTCCAGGGACGAAGTGCAGAGTCTGAAGTCCTGGTCTCGTTGGTCTTGGGTCTGACCTTTTTCTCGCAGTGATTTTGTTGTTGTTGTGTTTGACGTTGTGTGGAAAGTCTTTGTACGTTCAAGGTCAATGGTCACGGCGTTGATGCTGACAGCGCTAATTAAAACAAGCAATTATGTAAATGAAAACAATGAAGATAGAATATGTAAATGACATGTTAATGAGTGTTGTTAGTATGTAGGTTATACCACAAATAAAAATACTATGAAGCATTTGTATAACTAATACTAATACTTATACATGTATCTACCTGAAGAAGCTCTGAGCTAATGCTAATTTAGTTTTTCCACATTAATTATTGTCAATCAATCTTTTTATTTCGAACTTTGTTGTCAATCCAAATGCCATGTCATTTCATAATGCATAAAAAAATAAACTTTGTACACTCTGTACTTCTATTCTCATTCGAAAAAACAAGGAGAAAAAAAAAAAAACAATAATAAATACAAAATATGAGAAACAATACAAAATTGCAAAAAACAAAACTAATACAAGATACAAAAAAAAAAAATGATAACAAGAAAGTTCGAAAGGGAGTGGGAAGAAGTAAATACTTTTTAAATCCCACCCCCAGTGCATAAATGTTTGGTGGTTGCTTATGTTGTTTGTGTAGTAGCTTAACCTTTATTATATACGACAATAATTCTAATAACTCATGCGTAGCTTTTAATTCAATAACTTATACTCTGTTCATGTACAGACTCAAGATTGTGTTTTGCAGATTTTGACACTTAATAAAATACAAATACTACATGATTTTGTTGTTATTGATGTAATTATGTACTTTGCTTTGTTGTTTGTGGTTTTGTATTTTAATCTGAAGAACTCTGAGGTTTCCTGGAAATGTAAGGAGGAATATAAATAAAATGCATTATTATTATTAATTATACTATAAGTAACGCACTGCGGGGCTAAGGGTCTGACCGCCTGTAAGGGTAGGCCTCAGAAGAAGGGACACAATTATACGACAGAAGGCAGAGAGCTACTACTATACAACAGAAGGCAGAGAGCTACTACTATACAACAGAAGGCAGAGCTACTACTATACAACAGAAGGCAGAGCTACTACTATACAACAGAAGGCAGAGCTACTACTATACAACAGAAGGCAGAGAGCTACTACTATACAACAGAAGGCAGAGAGCTACTACTATACAACAGAAGGCAGAGCTACTACTATACAACAGAAGGCAGAGCTACTACTATACAACAGAAGGCAGAGCTACTACTATACAACAGAAGGCAGAGAGCTACTACTATAGAACAGAAGGCAGAGCTACTACTATACAACAGAAGGCAGAGAGCTACTACTATACAACAGAAGGCAGAGAGCTACTACTATACAACAGAAGGCAGAGCTACTACTATACAACAGAAGGCAGAGCTACTACTATACAACAGAAGGCAGAGAGCTACTACTATACAACAGAAGGCAGAGAGCTACTACTATACAACAGAAGGCAGAGAGCTACTACTATACAACAGAAGGCAGAGCTACTACTATACAACAGAAGGCAGAGAGCTACTACTATACAACAGAAGGCAGAGCTACTACTATACAACAGAAGGCAGAGAGCTACTACTATACAACAGAAGGCAGAGAGCTACTACTATACAACAGAAGGCAGAGCTACTACTATACAACAGAAGGCAGAGCTACTACTATACAACAGAAGGCAGAGAGCTACTACTATACAACAGAAGGCAGAGCTACTACTATACAACAGAAGGCAGAGAGCTACTACTATACAACAGAAGGCAGAGAGCTACTACTATACAACAGAAGGCAGAGAGCTACTACTATACAACAGAAGGCAGAGCTACTACTATACAACAGAAGGCAGAGAGCTACTACTATACAACAGAAGGCAGAGCTACTACTATACAACAGAAGGCAGAGAGCTACTACTATACAACAGAAGGCAGAGAGCTACTACTATACAACAGAAGGCAGAGCTACTACTATACAACAGAAGGCAGAGCTACTACTATACAACAGAAGGCAGAGCTACTACTATACAACAGAAGGCAGAGAGCTACTACTATACAACAGAAGGCAGAGAGCTACTACTATACAACAGAAGGCAGAGCTACTACTATACAACAGAAGGCAGAGAGCTACTACTATACAACAGAAGGCAGAGCTACTACTATACAACAGAAGGCAGAGAGCTACTACTATACAACAGAAGGCAGAGAGCTACTACTATACAACAGAAGGCAGAGCTACTACTATACAACAGAAGGCAGAGCTACTACTATACAACAGAAGGCAGAGAGCTACTACTATACAACAGAAGGCAGAGCTACTACTATACAACAGAAGGCAGAGAGCTACTACTATACAACAGAAGGCAGAGAGCTACTACTATACAACAGAAGGCAGAGCTACTACTATACAACAGAAGGCAGAGCTACTACTATACAACAGAAGGCAGAGAGCTACTACTATACAACAGAAGGCAGAGAGCTACTACTATACAACAGAAGGCAGAGAGCTACTACTATACAACAAAAGATGCAGAGAGCTACTACTATACAACAGAAGATGCAGAGAGCTACTACTATACAACAGAAGGCAGAGAGCTACTACTATACAACAGAAGGCAGAGAGCTACTACTATACAACAGAAGGCAGAGAGCTACTACTATACAACAGAAGATGCAGAGAGCTACTACTATACAACAGAAGGCAGAGAGCTACTACTATACAACAGAAGGCAGAGAGCTACTACTATACAACAGAAGGCAGAGAGATACTACTATACAACAGAAGGCAGAGCTACTACTATACAACAGAAGGCAGAGAGCTACTACTATACAACAGAAGGCAGAGAGCTACAATTATACAACAGAAGGCAGAGAGCTACTACTATACAACAGAAGGCAGAGAGCTACTACTATACAACAGAAGGCCGAGAGCTACTACTATACAACAAAAGATGCAGAGAGCTACTACTATACAACAGAAGGCAGAGCTACTACTATACAACAGAAGGCAGAGAGCTACTACTATACAACAGAAGGCAGAGAGCTACTACTATACAACAGAAGGCAGAGAGCTACTACTATACAACAGAAGGCAGAGAGCTACTACTATACAACAAAAGATGCAGAGAGCTACTACTATACAACAGAAGGCAGAGCTACTACTATACAACAGAAGGCAGAGAGCTACTACTATACAACAGAAGGCAGAGCTACTACTATACAACAGAAGGCAGAGAGCTACTACTATACAACAGAAGGCAGAGAGCTACAATTATACAACAGAAGGCAGAGAGCTACTACTATACAACAGAAGGCAGAGAGCTACAATTATACAACAGAAGGCAGAGAGCTACAATTATACAACAGAAGGCAGAGAGCTACTACTATACAACAGAAGGCAGAGAGCTACTACTATACAACAAGATGCAGAGAGCTACTACTATACAACAGAAGGCAGAGCTACTACTATACAACAGAAGGCAGAGAGCTACTACTATACAACAGAAGGCAGAGAGCTACTACTATACAACAAAAGATGCAGAGAGCTACTACTATACAACAGAAGATGCAGAGAGCTACTACTATACAACAGAAGATGCAGAGAGCTACTACTATACAACAGAAGGCAGAGAGCTACTACTATACAACAGAAGGCAGAGAGCTACTACTATACAACAGAAGGCAGAGAGCTACTACTATACAACAGAAGATGCAGAGAGCTACAATTACAACAGAAGGCAGAGAGCTACAATTATACAACAGAAGGCAGAGAGCTACTACTATACAACAGAAGGCAGAGAGCTACTTATTTTTTGCAGTCATAAAAATCAATGCAATGATTAAGACAGAGCACATGTAAATATCAGACTTTACTGATCTCACTGTAAAACTATAATACTGTAAAACCAATGTTTTCTAAAATTCTAAGTTCTTTGGGGAGCTACTTGGAAGGATCTGGCGAGCTACTGTACATTCTCTCAAGGCCAAATCCCATCACAGTCCTGTCTTTATGACTTAATAAACCTGTAAAAGAAATGCACATAGAGTGAGTGTTGCTAACGCGATGCTAACGCCGCGCAGAGCCACACGTCAGGCTAATCCTGGCGGTCACCTGTCAGGCCCGTTCCATTAGGCGCCGGCGCCGCTGTGGAAGTGCTGGCGGTAGCTGTCTCGCTGCCAGACTCACCGAGGTTTCACTTTCTGGGACGTCCGCCGAGGCCACAAGGGCAGCGGTCGTCCCCCGCGGTTTCTGGAGTACATCCTGATACATCTGGCAGGTGCGGGGCCCACGGGAGATCCTGGACTGGACCGGTTTAGCCCTGATGCCCTCCAGGAGCTGTCAGACGGCTCTCTCTCACCGCCGCCTCGCCGTCGGAGGTCAAAGTCACAGGATCACACTGGACTTGACCGGGCTTCTGTCCTTTGCACTCGTTTCACTGGGATCTCTGAGACGGACGGCAGGAAAACAGGAGGGGGATGTGACCCCATGATTAAAGAAGCAGTCAGTGATGTATGGGTGTGTTTACAGTAAAGTGTGATATATAGAATCTGCATCTTTAAAAGGTTATTACTGAAAAACTAAAATTACTTCTAGATTAGAAAAACAAAATGAAACAGACACATCAAAGAGATAGTGTGGATAAAATCAGAAGAAAAGATTGACAAATGTTGAATGTGGAGTTTCCTGGATCATTGATTTTTCTCTTAACCTGGAGTTGTGTTTAGATCCGTCCATGCTCATGTCAGCCCCTTCTGTTTAAAAAATCTCCTGTCTCAGTCCTTTAATATTACGCTCAGTGCAGATTTTAGTATTTCTCATCAATGAGTTTTTTGGCCATTTCTAAAGCGACATTTTTTACGATATCATGAGGTGGGTGCAGCCGGTAGTTTTCACATTTGTAAGAGAGACGCAAATTTAACTTCTCCCTCTGGTGGTAGTGTAGTGAAAGTGTTGTAACATGTATTTATCATATCAAAAATACTGGAGGGGCTTCTGAAAAACGGCCTATAAATGTTAGTTTTGGCTCTTTCTATACATTTGTAGTTAATATAATGCTCTGGCCACAGACTTAAGACATCATTAACAACAGAAGAATGTAATGTATCAAAGATTTAAGTCTGATAAGTAATGCTGAGAAGAATAGAGATTACTCCAAACGCCGTTATCGCCTTCGGGGTAAAACGAAAGAACATTTAAGGATTAATTTGTTAGAAGATTTCTGGCAAATGAATAAATGTGTAGATTAGTGTCCACTGCTATAGTCAAATCTGATGTGTGTGTATGGACATTGGTCTCTCTCTATGGTCCAATACCATGTGGTCTCTCTCTATGGACCAATACCATGTGGTCTCTCCCTATGGTCCAATACCATGTAGTCTATATTCTCTGATTCTCGGATCTGTGTTGGCCAGGGGTATCCAAACTTTGTAGTAAGAGGCCACTTTACTTCAAGTCTAGACTGACATCGGGCTGTTCTGAACTTTTTTTTACCGATTGAGCATATTTTGAGCGGCAGGGGAAACCGGAGTACCCAGAGGAAACTTACGCAGGCACGGGGAGAACATGCAAATTCCACTCAGAAAGGCGTTGTTCTTACCGGGATTCAAACCCAGCTATCCACTCAGCCACCGTGCTGCAAGTTAAAGTCATAAAGATAATTTCAAATGATTCTGAGTGCCACTAACATTGGTCTTGCAGTCCGGATGTGGCCCACGGTCTTGCAGTCCGGATGTGGCCCACGGTCTTGCGGTCCGGATGTGGCCCACGGTCTTGCGGTCCGGATGTGGCCCACGGTCTTGCGGTCCGGATGTGGCCCACGGTCTTGCGGTCCGGATGTGGCCCACGGTCTAGCGGTCCGGATGTGGCCCCGGGCTGGACATGCCTGATGTACAGAATCGCGCCATCCGACTGTAGAACTCTTGACTCACGTCGGAACCATCGTGACCCGTAACAAACTTCCTCGAGCGTCTGTCAGAGTGAGCTTTCCCTCTCCGCTGCCAGATGGTTCGTCAAGGATGCAATCTTCCAATTTGCTCAATCTGTCCTGTGCCCTTCAAGGCTCGGTTGTGGAGCGCATTTACCTGTCTCCGAGCAAATCTTTGGGTATTTCCGAAATCTGTTCCGTCGGCTCCAGCGTCAGTCGCCTGGATCCTCACTGTTCCGTCAGAGGGTGCGGCGCTAATGCTCATGGTCAAAATAAACGCTTTTGGTCCAGACACGGTGTCATCCATCTCCTCAGTAAATGATACATCTTCCTCCTCCGCTCGGGATCCATGACCTTGTTGTTGTGGCCCTGTTAGCGCTGAGAGAAATGCATTGTGGGAAGGGGAGTCTGGGGATAAGTCTGGACATTGTCTGGAGGCAGAGCAGAAACAGGGATGGACGGATGAGAAAAGCAATCGTGTGAAGTTTAACCGTGTGAAGTCCGTGAGAAAGTGAAGGTGTCTCGAGGCGGGTGTCGTTCCGTCGGGATTATGTTAAAGAAAAACCAGATAATAACAAACAGAAGTTGCCTGAACTAAAGCTGGACATGTGTTAAAACCACAGAAATCCAGCTTTGTAATAAATCCATCTAACATCCAGTGGTCTCTGCTCTCAGTTCTATCTCTGTGTGATAAAATCTATTATTATTATTATTATTATTATTGACCAACAGCTTTATCATCCGCTTTTTTAAACTGAAAAGTGGAAAATCATGGACCACCCTCTCTCCTCCAATCAGTTCTCAGCACAAAGCATTCATACAATAATCAAGAGAAATATTACACTGAAAAAAGTATGCGACATATTTACTAAAAACAACGTAAATTATAGATATTTTTCTAGAATCAAGTCATGTGTGTGTAACGGATATAGAAAAGCACTTTATGTTGAATTTTATTATTTTTACGTTTTATTTTGAAATTCCCAGAAGTGCGCGCTGCTCTCCTGTGTTTTATTTTGGTACTGAACTTCCCGTCTCAAAGCCGCGGTGTTTGCTTCGGCGTGAGTTCTGTCTCAAAACTATCTCAAATAAATTCACAATGTTCACTCAGATATGTTTATTAGGAAATGTTTTAGGATGCAATGAAACGTACTTTTGCACATTTTTAGTTTTTCTGTACTTTTTATCTAGCTAGCTTACCATGTGCACGTGCAGTCTTCATCCTGTAGGGGGCGCCAGTGTGTCCGCTGTGACTAAGAATGTATATTTTTGGTCTGTCACAGGTCTCGGTTTACGGCTCGTGGACGACTGCAGCCGTTACGTGTAACTAGTGTTATTTTCTCATTTTCAGAAATCATATTTTCTTTTGGCAGAAAACTTTTCTTGTTTTAACCAGTATTTTACTCATTTTCATTTATTTATTTTTTACAGATTTTTTCCAGTGAACAATTATAATGGGTGGCTGAGTAGTTAGCTCTCTCGCTTCTCAGCAAGAAGGTCCTGGGTTCGAATCCTTGTCAGAACAGGGCTTTCTGAGTGGAGTTTGCATGTTCTCCTCGTGTATGCGTAGGTTTCCTCCAGGTGCTCCGGTTTCCCCTACCACTAAACCCATGTAGAGCCCTGCACTTGAGCCCTTGGCCCGAGGGCCCCGACGGCCCGACAGCCCGAGGGCCGGGCTTCGGGCCGATGACCGCATAATGACCTCGGACACGGGCCGGGCTCGGGCTCTTCATTTTCAGAGCGGCAGAATAGATTTACGAACGCACCCACTGAATATAGCGTTCTATCAAGCTGTAGTGTTTGTTGTTCTGTGTAGTGTTGTCATTGACGGCACATAGCGTTACTTACAGGTGTGTTGCAGCATCTGTGTATCATACAGCTGTGTATCATACAGCTGTGTATCATACAGCTGTGTATCATACAGCTGTGTATCATACAGCTGTGTATCATACAGCTGTGCATCATACAGCTGTGTATCATAGAGCTGTGTATCATACAGCTGTGTATCATACAGCTGTGTATCATACAGCTGTGTATCATACAGCTGTGCATCATACAGATGTTCACTCTGCACCACTCCGCACACACAGAACTCATTGCAACACATCACTACCATGTATAACTCCGCCCTCTAGCTAAGTCTGCGTTCATATCAGTGCGCGGCACTATATACTACGCTAAAACATTGTTATGGGAGGTTACAAAAAAAAAAAAAAAAAAAAAAAAGGCGGGCTTGATGCGAGTTTCGGGCCTGAAAATTGAGAAACCATATCGGGCCGGGCCGGGCTGGGGCGCCACCCCCTCGGGCCAGGGCCGGGCTCGGGCCCAGATAATAGGCCCGTGCAGGGCTCTAAACCCATGTGTAGGTCTGGTGTATAACCTGCTCCATCTCTGAAGCGCCTCGTGACTCTGTGAAAGGTGCTATTTAGATAAAGATGACTCATTTATTTACTAAAAGAAACTCGAGTTGCTCCTGATCGTCCTTCAGCTCAAATCAACAAAGGATTAAAGTAGTTTTTCTGCTGAACTTTGCTTTAGTTTGAGTTTTGAGGTTAAAGACCATTAGATGTGTTTATGAATCTTGAGTCTTAATGGTTTTTCCCTCAACCTTTGCAGCCTGGTCCGAAGGGAAGTGTAGTCCAGATTTACATGTATTTTATTCCTAGAACAATGCAAACCAGTATTCAATGTTTAAGAATCTTGCATCTAAATCTCTTCGAGCTCAGAGTAAAACAATAAACATTTGCTTCTGTTGAATGTGAAGAGCAAAATCCCTTCATAAACATTTCCTGCAGAATTACAGTTGGGGTCGGGAGAAAGATTAATATGGGACAAAGAAATCGTGCCAGCAAAAAAAGGAGCAGAGTGTAGTGGAATTTAATGAGTTTGTGCGTCGGCTTGGGAGCTAGTTCACGCCACGCTAATTACGCTCTGTACGCGGAGACCTGCGAGCGCCACGGGAAGACCACGGCAAGACCACAGCAAGACCACGGCAAGACCACGGCAAGACCACGGCAAGACCACGGCAAGACTACGACAAGACCACGGCAAGACCACGGCAAGACCACAGCAAGACCACGGCAAGACCACGGCAAGACTACGACAAGACCACGGCAAGACCACGGCAAGACCACGGCAAGACCACGGCAGGATAGAGAAGTGTGGACACATTTCAAAGCCGCTCGGTCTGAGATGGAAACCTGTTCTGTCTGTTCTGGCGCTGATTACGGCCCACATTTAAAAGGTAATGAGATATAACTCGCAGCTGACAAACAGCCTCTCCATTAGGAGCGCCAGACGCAAACTCACTGCCGGAAAATGAGTTTTGTAGACTGTATTTGTCAAGGTAATTAGATTCACCAGTGCGCCGGTCGTCTCTGCTGCAGAAGAAAAATAAACGATGCACCAAGGGGTAGATGCTGCCCCCTTCTGGCAGGGAGGGCAACAGCAAGAGTAATGTTATGCAGGGAATGTGTTGAATCTTGTAGTTTCTGCCTTTTTTAATACAGTACAAAGAGATTGGAGACTGCTCTTATATAATCATTAGATAAACCTTAAACAATCAGCGTAAAGTCACACATTTCTTTGGACTTTCTTTTGTCATTGATCAAAAGGGGCTGGTGCATTGGGTTTAGCTCTGACTGCCACCCCCGACCCAGAAATGGATGAAGGGGAAGAAGATGGACTGATGGATGGATGTTGATCATTGTTGATAATGATATCCAGGTAAAATGATTATAATACATTTTATTTATAATGCACCTTATAAGCACCTTATAAGAAATCTCAAAGTGCTACAGATTAAAATACAAAACCATAAACAACAAAACAACACAAAATAATCAGCAGTACATAAATACATAGAAATATATAAATATTCTAGTCTGGGGCTATTCCAGACCTGGATCATTCAGCGTTGGAAGGACATTCTTTAGTGTTCAGATAAATTACGAGTCTCTTTTTCATATCTGGCAACCCATTTGGACCGTTTAAACACCACCTGGAACTATCTGAGCTTCAGTCATTTCACCTGAGGCAAATATGAGGGACATGATTATATTTCCTCAGTGCTTTGTTATTAAAAGTGCGGTCTGCGAGTCTAGATCATAAAATAAACCTTTGTTTTGCTCGTCTCGCTCTCACGTTGGAGACTTCAGATTCTGAATCCGGACTCACTCGATCATGAAGAGTGGAAGAGGAAGTCCCCGCTCTGTGTGGTGGTCGTTAGCTGCTAGCGCCTGCGGAGAACCCCACACTCCTCCCACGCTTCAGCGAACAATCTGACTTTCAGCTGTGACTTTGAGAAACCACACTGCAAAAAAAACACAATATGAAGTAATAAATGCTTTTGAATCTAGGGTTTTTATCTTCATTTGAGTTAAGTTGATTTTCTGACTGTCCAAAAACAAGATTTGTCTCATTCCAAGAGAGACATTTCTTCAATTTTCTTGTATCTTTTTAAAACCAGACACTTTTTCTTTTCGACAAATCTTGTTTATCGTCAAAATGAGCTCAAATCAAGACAAAAACACTTGATCCAAGTATTTATTACCTTATTTTTAGTTTTTTTTTTTTGCAGTGCAGCCTCCTCTCCTCCATGTTTCTTTCCTCTCCCTCTCTTTTCTCTCATCTGTCCATCTCCTGCCGCTCCATCTCTCCATCGTTCCCTGTTTCATCTCGGGGGAAGGGAAATCTGCTCCTGGCTCAGTTTAAATGAAACTTGCCCTCTTCCCGACAGATTCTAACCTTTAATATTCTGGCCCTTTGTCGGCAAGTGTGTATCCAGCTTTCATCATTCATATTGTATTGTTATGGCCCCATGGCCCCGCTACACAAAGTCACAGCTACACAAAGTCACAGCTACACAAAGTCACAGCTACACACTCTGATATGATATTAAAATCCATTTATTTTGTACAGATAGTCATATTTCTACAGTAAAAACACCCTTGAATCACTTTAAAAAATAACAGTTTTTAACCTGGATTTAACCATTGTCAGAGAAAAGAGGCCTGTCTCACATTGTCAGGAAGATTGTTCAAGATTTTACTGCATAATTGTGAAACGCTACATCCCCATGTTTTAGTCCTGACTCTGGGACCAGCAGGAGGCCAGTCCCTGTGCTCCTCAGAGTCCCAGCAGGAGGCCAGTCCCTGTGCTCCTCAGAGTCCCAGCAGGAGGCCAGTCCCTGTGCTCCTCAGAGTCCCAGCAGGAGGCCAGTCCCTGTGCTCCTCAGAGTCCCAGCAGGAGGCCAGTCCCTGTGCTCCTCAGAGTCCCAGCAGGAGGCCAGTCCCTGTGCTCCTCAGAGTCCCAGCAGGAGTCCAGTCCCTGTGCTCCTCAGAGTCCCAGCAGGAGGCCAGTCCCAGCAGGAGGCCAGTCCCAGCAGGAGGCCAGTCCCAGCAGGAGGCCAGTCCCTGTGCTCCTCAGAGTCCCAGCAGGAGGCCAGTGCACAGACCTGAGAGCAGGACTGGGTTGTTAGTATCTATCTACTTCCTGTTTATGTTAATGTAATTACATGTATATCATATGAATGCTGAATAGTGCATCACCATCGTCTTCTGTGATTGGTCCCTAGATCCGTGCGAATATTTCAGCTCAGGTTTCCAGCTGTGGTGCAGTTACCCATGAGCTCAGTCAGCGGCGGTATTCCCAGGCTGATGATTAATGTCATTAGCTTCAGGAATGTACCATTACATATCCATGGAGAAAACAGAAAAGTTACATAATGGACCATTCCAGTTTAAATGGCGTAAGCATTTATAATAATTATAATAATTGTATCAGCAGCTATATTGTGGCGTAGAGACACTCCCTCCGTAAACTCTCTGTGGCATCTGCTTCTGAACTCATTATAATTCAATTAGAGAAAGTGATGACGACCAAACATGTTCTTAAAGAGTTGCAGCGCTGATGTTATGAAAACCCACCACGGCCTCATTCACCGAACATTTAAAACGCTTACGTGTGTTTCTGCTCGTCCACCAGAGTGGCTCTTCTTCACCTCTGTCTCTCTCTGCTTCTCTCTCTCTCTCTCTCTCTGTCTCTCTCTCTCTCTCTCTCTCTCTCTCTCTCTCTCTCTCTCTCTCTCTCTCTCTCTCTCTCTCTCTCTCCTCTCTCTCTCTCTCTCTCTCTCTCTCTCTCTCTCTCTCTTCTCTCTCTCTCTCTCTCTCTCTCTCTCTCTCTCTCTCTCTCTCTCTCTCTCTCTCTCTCTCCTCTCTCTCTCTCTCTCTCTCTCTCTCTCTCTCTCTCTCTCTCTCTCCCTCTCTCCCGCTCTCTCTCCCGCTCTCTCTCCCTCTTCCAGCTGATGTTCCTGTGTGTAAAACCCCCATAGCCCCATCTGCATTCCTTCCCAATTAAGCCGCCATCATCTGATTCCAATTACTCTAATTATAGCAGCGAGGGATACGAGCCAAGCCGGGGAAAAGGCATAAAACGGCCTGGACACGACGGCCTGGACACGACGGCCCGGACACGATGGCCCGGACACGACGGCCTGGACACGACGGCCTGGACACGACGGCCTGGACACGATGGCCCGGACACGATGGCCCGGACACGACGGCCCGGACACGACGGCCCGGACACGACGGCCCGGACACCACGGCCCGGACACCACGGCCCGGACACCACGGCCCGGACACCACGGCCCGGACCATAGACTGTATATATTAACGGACGTAGTCACGCCTATCTCCGCTGTTCTAACTAATGGGCCAAAAATAGTGCTCTACTGGAGCTATCCAAAATGGCCGCGAGTGGTCCCGCCCACAATAAAATTGTGAAAAAACACATCTGCGCATGCGTCAGCCGACGAGAGCTCCATTCATTTGAACGAGAGACTTCAAAAGTCCACAGCGACTCAGCATTGACACACATGTGGAACGAAGCTTTGGACCAAGAGACAACTTTTGGACCATCCTGTAAAGACGTTTTCCAGAGGTCAGAAGATGCGATATGTTAGCATTGGCTAATTCTTATTCCGGGTCCACCCCCACAGGCCCGGGGTGGTACTGCAGCATGTCAGCGCACGTCATTTTGGGGCCTGGACACTTCACACTTGGGGCGAGCGAGACATGCTTAAGGTCAGACCAATGGGAAACAACAACAGTAAGAGCCCGTCGCAGATTTGAGTTCCAGGAAGTGCTCCCCGTGTGCAGAGAGTGGATTTGGCCGGAGCGAGGTCATTTCACACAGTCCACCACGAGCCGCAGATTCTCACCTCGGGATAATAAAAGAACGACATAAGAAGCAGTTCTGAGAGATCGCATCGTGCTTTGGAGCTGGAATAAAAGCCTGGTTTGGATTTTACCGTTGTGTGTTTGAGGCTAATCTGTGACTGCTCTTTTATCATGACCACCTGTTCTTATTGTTGGGTACTTTACCGTACTCGGAAAGTCCACGTTTGTCCTGGTTTTTGTTACAGGTGCAGGGATAAAGAGGGCCACATGGAGCCGGGAGGGCTGTGTGGCTTTAAACTACAACATTTATGTTCAAATGTCTTGTATTACTGTCCAGGTACAAGTTATATAAATATATAAATACATAGATATTGATGTAAGTGTAATGAATGCACAGATCTCTGGATTGTTGGAATCTTAAAGCTCAGGTACTTTTTGTTCAAAATAATCAGTTTTGTTTGTGCCAACGGAATCAAATCAGACCAAAGCCTTTTTAGAACATTGTCTTGTGCATAAATGTGAGAAAGAGACTGAGTCACTGTTGGACTCTTTAGAATCAAAAACTGAGGCTCAGTGAGTTTTCTTTTTTTCTGTCTGAAAAAGGTTGATTTAAAGATGTAGGACTCTGAGGAGCACAGGGACTGGCCTCCTGCTGGGACTCTGAGGAGCACAGGGACTGGCCTCCTGCTGGGACTCTGAGGAGCACAGGGACTGGCCTCCTGCTGGGACTCTGAGGAGCACAGGGACTGGACTCCTGCTGGGACTCTGAGGAGCACAGGGACTGGCCTCCTGCTGGGACTCTGAGGAGCACAGGGACTGGACTCCTGCTGGGACTCTGCGGAGCACAGGGACTGGCCTCCTGCTGGGACCATGAGGAGCACAGGGACTGGTCTCCTGCTGATTCCAGAGTCAGGACTAAACATGAGGAGGCTGCATTTCAGATTCATGCAGCTAAAATCTGGAACAATCTCCCTGAAAGTGTGAGACTGTGTGTGTGTGTCAAACTGAAATCTCTCCACTGTGGGACGTGTAAATGACCTTCTTCTTCTAAATAAATGCATAACTGTAAATTCACATCAAACTTCAGAATCTTAACAATCCTCTGCACTTAATTCCGTATGATCTTATTTTGGTGCTGCGACATGAAAGCCTCATTTGAAAACTGCCACTTCAAACACCGAGCGCTGTTAATGACGCTTAAATGTATCCCTCATTACTTTCCTCCAGATCACACTTTGATGGGGCCCGATGCTCAGCTGAAGGATTTACTTAGCGAGCCGTCCTCTTTATACCCTGTTTATTGTGCAGTCTTGTGCAATGGGCCTTGCTATTGCTTCCTGAAGGCGGGCACTTGTCTTTTGCTGTTTACAAAATGACTCTAGTGTTATTTTTTACAAGCAGCGCGGCCACGATAACGTCCTTTTCAACGGCAATGATGAACGGCAGCATTATTATGTAAATGTCGATTTAAAGAGACACACCACGGGTAATTATCAGCCGCACAAAGCCGCTCGCTGCTGGTTCAAAATGGTCGCGTGTGTGTGTTTCGTGGCCCGACCTTCCGTGACACCGGGGTTAAAGAGTCTTCTCAATGGCTGCTTTTACGAGTGACGTCTCCCCAGAGCGCCCTCAATCCGTCAGCGGGACAGCGGTGACAGCGGGGGCAGGGCTGGCTGACACGTGTCCGCTCGTCTCCGGGTTGATGGGGTACAAACAAGGGGCTTCCCTGCTTCATACCTGGCACCCGCGAGCCCATCTCCTGCTGTCCTTATCACCAGTCACTTCTGATTACTGAGCTCCACTGCCTCCTGCCGCTCTCTCTGCAGAGCTCTAGGTTCAGGAGGTGTTTGGTGTTCACCTTTTTAAAATCATCATTAAAGGGCACTAATCTGTCGTCATTAAAGGGCCTTAATCTGTCGTCATTAAAGGGCCCTAATCTGTCATCATTAAAGGGCCCTAATCTGTCATCATTAAAGGGCCCTAATCTGTCATCTGTCATCATTATAGGGCCCTAATCTGTCACCATTAAAGGGCCCTAATCTGTCATCATTAAAGGGCCCTAATCTGTCATCATTAAAGGGCCCTAATCTGTCATCATTAAAGGGCCCTAATCTGTCATAATAATAAACTGCTCTTTTCCAATACTTCTTTAACTGATAACAGTAGTTCAGAGATATTTGAATTTCATTATTCATTTTTTACCCCCTAAATCTTGTTATTGTTTTCATTTTGATGTCCCGCCCTCCACCGTTTCACCAATCAGAAAGTCTGTGATCCGGGCGCCAGAACTCACCGTGTGGAGCTAATCTCACTGGTAAAGTACCATGTGGCGCAGAACTAAAAAAGGTCTCGTTATGATTCTCAAATCATTAACGACAAAACAAAGAATAAAAGCAGGATTTCTATCTTTGTGAAAAAGGTGTTGGTTATAGATTTGTTGTTGACAAAACTCTTGTCTATTCAGCTGTTATGGTCCCAGCTGGATTCGTCTGCATATCTGGCAACCTGAGTCAGGGAGAGTACCACTTTTGGACACATGTTTACAGACTGCTGCTTTGACTATAAAAGATCAATATTCTGCTTTGTCGTCATTCTAAGCAGTGATTAAAAACATCTACAGTAACAGAATAATAGAAGCTTCTCCTGTGAGATCAATACAGTCTGTCTTATCTTGTATTGTCTTGTTCAAAGTCAATAAATGCGTCTCAATCGGATCCTTCACCTGTTAAAGTGGCTCTGAACGCAAGAATAAATGTTATTCTTATTTGACATTTAAAATGATAATGAGACTATTTACTGCGTTAATGTTTTAAAATGTGAAATATCTTAAGTAGAAAATAAATGCTGAATCAAGTATCAAGGAAAAAAAAAGATTTGTGCCTTTAACTCCCAATGCTGCCACCAGAGGGAGGGGCAGACGTTGTTTTTTTTTTTTTTTCTTTTGCCCCCAAATATAACAATTTCCGCATATATATAACAAAGACATTTAAACCAGTCCCAGAAAAGCCTGGTGCGGTTCCATGTTTTAGTTCCCACCAAACAGAATCCAACTTTTGCCGCAGATTGAAGCCACACCGGCTCTCTTAGGGCAGAGTATTGAATGTGAAAAAGGAAAATATATCTCCTCATGTTTAAGATGTGAAATGTAAAGAAGCTTGTACTTCAGCATTTTATTAACTGAGCCTTCTAAAGCTTTGAGGGCTTAACTTTGAGATTTACCAGGATATTTATGAGTTGCTTGTGGATATCGAACCCCCAAACATGTAAATATGTCCAGTATTCACTTATGGCACTTTACATATGAAACTACTTTTCTCCCCCAAACCAGACCAGGTCCAGTTAAATTGAACCAGTCTGAGGTCTCCCAGCAGGAAGACCACACCATCTGGGAGAAAACAGTCAAATGTATTCACTTAGCTACAGTATGTTTGCCAACCAGCTTTGTTGTGTTCTTGCCTCTGAAAATATCTTTGCTTTTTCCTCGGACTCGGAATGGGGGGTGAATGGGGGAGTATATAGGGAGTGAATGGGGGAGTATATAGGGAGTGAATGGGGGAGTATATAGGGAGTGAATGGGGGAGTATATAGGGAGTGAATGGGGGAGTATATAGGGAGTGAATGGGGGAGTATATAGGGAGTGAATGGGGGAGTATATAGGGAGTGAATGGGGGAGTATATAGGGAGTGAATGGGGGAGTATATAGGGAGTGAATGGGGGAGTATATAGGGAGCGAATGGGGGAGTATATAGGGAGCGAATGGGGGAGTATATAGGGAGTGAATGGGGGAGTATATAGGGAGTGAATGGGGGAGTATATAGGGAGTGAATGGGGGAGTATATAGGGAGCGAATGGGGGAGTATATAGGGAGTGAATGGGGGAGTATATAGGGAGTGAATGGGGGAGTATATAGGGAGTGAATGGGGGAGTATATAGGGAGCGAATGGGGGAGTATATAGGGAGCGAATGGGGGAGTATATAGGGAGTGAATGGGGAGCGAATGGGGGAGTATATAGGGAGTGAATGGGGAGTGTGAATGGGGGAGTAAATGGGGGGTGAATGCGGAGTGTGAATGGGGGAGTAAATGGGGGGTGAATGCGGAGTGAATGGGGAGTGTGAATGGGGGGTGAATGGGGAGTGAATGGGGGGTGAAGGGGCCGGCGGGTGCAGCTGAACTCAGTGGGACTCCAGTGTGGGTCGTTAGTTTGCCTCCTCTCTATCAGAATCAGAATCAGAATCATTTTTATTGCCACGTGAGTAACAAAGTTATCACTTGGAAATTGTCTTGGCAGAGAGCGTGCCACTTCGCCATCATTAGTGTCCATAACAAACACATTAGCTCCTGCTGCACCGAGCCTCTTCTCGGCCATTTACAGCGATAATGAGACTGTAACAAGCAGCCGGACTCTGCACAGGTCATCTGCCGCTAATGACGCACTCACCAACAACATTTGGCTTGTTTTGGGAAACTTCTGAGCACTTG